GTGCATCATCTTTAGAAGAGGCTTCTTTTTGGGATGACAGCCCTGGAAACCAATTTGATGCAGTGTGCAGAGTGGTTCTGTAGCACAACAGCTGGATTCTGTGTGTTGAACTTTAATATTTTATTGCCTGCTGTGATAGTTTTAAAATAATTGTATTAGGTTTTTGAACATAAGACCTATGGACCCTAAGGACAGATAAAAAGGAGGGAAGAGGTTTGTTATGAAAGACTCCTAGCTAAAGATGAGCACAGTCCTCTTTTCCCATTTTTCCCTTCTCTATATTAAAGACAAGGACTTAGCACCATCTTCTGGCAGCTTGTTAAAAGGCACTAAAAACCACAGAACAAGGAGTGACTGATAATGGAAAAAGCCAAATCTTGTGATATGCTTATCTTTTGTTGACTTAAATCAGGAGGCCCAAGCTGGATCCAAGTCAACAAAAGAATGTTTATTTTCTTATGCCTGTCACTTCTCAAAAAGTTAAAGAATTTTTTATAATACACAGCCTCTCTAGAGATTAAAACATAATAAATTGAAGAGGAAAAGATAAAAGATTATGATTTCCCCAAAATTCCTTAGTTCAATGTTTGTTGTAAAACCTCCAGTCTAATAAACTTAAGATAGCCTTCCAGTATTATTAACAATATGTTTGATCCACTAGTCAATAATACTCCAGGACTTTTTGGAGTAATAAAGCACCATGCCTGTCTCATTGCATTAGTACCTTCTGGTGGAGTCTTCCAGCTGCAATGTCTCAAAGAAGCAGGCAGTCATGGAAGAAGCTGATCAGGGCAAACCTCTGGAATACACAACAGCCTCAGAAAAAATGCACACTTCTTGAATGTTTGGCACCAGTTTCCCCTTCTGGACATGTTAGAAAATGGTGATGGGTTCTTTTCTTGTCTACTAATATCTGTTACCCACATCTTGATTTAAGCAACTGATCACTGAGTAGGGGACACAGCATTAGAGGACTTACTGGTAAAGACAATAATGCTAGGAAAAGTTGAAGGGAGCATGAAAAGTAGAAGACCAAATATATGATTGTTTGACCTAATAAAAGAAGCTAGGATCTTGATTTTCAAGAGCTAAGCAGGACTGTTAATTCATTCATTCATTCATTCATTCATTCATTCATTCAATTTATATCCCGCCTATCTAGTCAATTAAGACCACTCTAGGCGGCTAATAAAAGAAGCTAGGACCTTGATTTTCAAGAGCTAAGCAGGACTGTTAATGATAGGACATTTTGGAGGTCAGTTATTCATAGGGCTGCCCTGGGTCAGAGGCAATCTTATGGTACATAATAACCTTCAGAACATCAGATACTATGAAGCTACAGTAATATGAAGCCAACCTCAGTATATATTATGAATACTAAAGGCTTTTCAAGAATGTGTATATTACTGCAAATTCACTACATAAAATGGTAACTGATCCCTCCTCAAAAAGTCGCTTGACCTTTTAATCAAAAAGGGCTTGTTTCCGGCAATCTTATGGTACATAATAACCTTCAGAACATCAGATACTATGAAGCTACAGTAATATGAAGCCAACCTCAGTATATATTATGAATACTAAAGGCTTTTCAAGAATGTGTATATTACTGCAAATTCACTACATAAAATGGTAACTGATCCCTCCTCAAAAAGTCGCTTGACCTTTTAATCAAAAAGGGCTTGTTTCCACCTACTCTTCAACCACATCTTAAAATATTTTAGATGGCTAGCAAACATGTGGGTAACTGATCCCTCCTCAAAAAGTCGCTTAACCTTTTAATCAAAAAGGACAACTTGTTTCAACCTACTCTTCAACCACATCTTAAAATATTTTAGATGGCTAGCAAACATGTGATTTCCCCTCCAGGAAATAAATTGCACAACCTTATTTGTGAGCAGCTGTTACAAGCAGATAATCCATCACATACTACACACACACTTTACTTGCAGAGAATTGTCATTTCCAAGGAATTAATCTTTGTGTGTGTTACAATCCATCACATACTACACACACACTTTACTTGCAGAGAATTGTCATTTCCAAGGAACAAAATTAATCTTTGTGTGTGTTAGGTATGTTTTTTTCATGCAGTCCAGCTTACTAAATCGTAATTGGATAGATTCCTCAATGTTAACTTTCGGGTATATTTTATTTCCCTCATTTTATGTTTCTTGGCCTTATATCTGATAGATTCCTCAATGTTAACTTTCGGGTATATTTTATTTCCCTCATTTTATGTTTTTTGGCCTTATCTCTAAATACCCTGCCTAAAAACCAGTTCTTCTACACTGTTGATGCTATAATAGTGAGAGAAGGATGACTGAATTGCACTAAAGGCACCTACTTCCTTAAGGGACTTCTCTTTAATAGCATACCTTGGGAAATCTGAGATGCTACTGACATGTCATAGCACTGCTGGGATTTTTTTTCTACCTTTGAGTGCTCTGTCTGAATAGCTAGGATAACGGCAAAATAATGTTAATTTTGGTTAAATGGGGATGACTCCTCCAGAATTTTATCTGGCCAAAAACCAAAGCAGGAAAAGGTATGAAACGGGGGAGGCGGCAGATGTGCTACTGCAACTGGCTGCAAGCACTGCCTCAGTAACACGAGGGACAAGGTAAGCAGCTGGTCAGGAGGCAGAGAGCCACTACCAAGGTGAGACACAGAGATTTTTCTTCTTCTTCTTCCCCACTTATTACTCCAGTAACTCCACAGTGAGTGTGGCTACTAGCGCCCTGGTCATGGAATTTTGGGAAAATGTGGGTGAAAACAAAAACATTTCCCATCTCTGGTCCAGCCAATGAGTTATCTTAATAAGCCTCATGGTGCAATAGCTAAACTATAGTATTGCAGCCATAACTCTGCTCACAGTCAGCATTTGATACCAATGGATTTGACAGCTGACTCAAGGTTGACTCAAACTTCCATCCTTCCGAGGTCGGTAAAATGAGTACCCAGCTCGTGAGGTGGGAGGTGGGCAATGTGTAGCCTATATAATTTTAAAAATGTACATGGTTCACTATCGCTATGAGGCGTTATATCAGCAGCACATTTTGCTTTACTATCTTACAAAAGGCTTTCTGCCTGGAGGGATTTAAAGTGGAGCAGAAGGTATATAGTAGGAGCTGAAGTAGTCACCAATGTGATGTGGTGGATAGAGTAACATGCTGGGACTCAGGAGGCCTGGGTTCAAATTCTTGCTCACCCAAGGAAACTCATTATGGGGTGTAAGAACTGGTAAAACCTCTCCTGAAAAATCTCACTTACCTTGAAAGCCCTGTTATAAGTCTATTCCAACTTGGACACATAACAACAAAGTAGTGAAGAAGAAGAGACTGTGTAGAGCCTGCATATGGAATCTCTGGCCACAGAAAGAGGTGACGGTACCCCGACTGTGGAGATGAATATTCCTTTACAATTAGAGATGAGAACAAACTGTCAAAATGGCAGTTCATCTTGTTTAGTTGTCTGTCAGGGTTGATGAACAACAAATCTCCCTGTGACTGTGGCCATTAAAAAAATGCCCGCACAAGGTGGCCCCCAACCCAACAGGCTGCCGTTTGCCCTACCACTGTCCCCATCACCTCCTTACCTTGTCTGCCTCCGCCGGCCATACCACCACAGCCTCCACTGCAGGCAGCTTCCATCTTTGCAAAGACAGTGACTGCAGCTTCCTTTAGGGCAGCGAAGCCTGCCCTGTCTGCCTATGGGCCCGCCCATCAGATGATTGAAGGGCCACAGGCAAACAAGGCAAACTCTGCTGGCCTAAGCAGCGGCAGCTTCCCTTAGGGCAGCAGAGCCTTGCCTCTCTGCCTATGGGCCCACCAATGAGCTATTTGGTGGGGTGGGTGCATAGACAGAGAGGAAAGACTAGCCTGCTTAAACAGAAGTCACAACCAATGAGCTATTTGGTGGGGTGGGTGCATAGACAGAGAGGGAAGACTAGCCTGCTTAAACAGAAGTCACGATTCCAGCAGCCTAGTCTTCCCTCGCTGCCTACGGGGACAAATAAAAATGGCTAAATATTCGTCCCTTCACATTTGTCAGGGTCTGCCGAACTGACAAATACAAAGGAACAAACATTCAATGAATCAGCAATTTCTTACAACTATCACAATTCATTTTTAAAATTCATCCCCACATCTCGTGGCACAGTGGTTAAAACGCTGTACTGCAGCTAAAACTGTGCTCACGACCTGGGGTTCAAATACCAGGTAGCCGGCTCAAGGTTGACTCAGCCTTCGATCCTTCCGAGGTCGGTAAAATGAGTACCCAGCTTGCTGGGGGGGCAATGTGTAGCCTGTATAATTAAATTGTAAACCGCCCGGAGAGTGCTTGTAGCGCTATGGGGCGGTATATAAGTCCAAAAAACAAATTAAAAAAAATAAATCTATTTACAGTCTCTAAATAGGATGACAGGATCAGAGATAAGCAGTCAAGAATTCTGTGAGTGAGTGGACAAACCACCATCTTGCCCTTCAAAACTGGGCAAAATGAGACACATGGCAGTTTCAGACTCTGAGGCTAGTGGGAAGTGTGCAGAAACCCACTTTGGAGATCTGCTGCCTCCTGCAGGAGTTCCCATTTGCTTGCACACAGGTATCCTTGCATATTTTTAGGTAAAACATCTTACGATGACACTTAAACCCCCACAGCTCTCTCATCTAAAGGAAAACTAACTTCATACTATTTGATGTATCAACACTGCAGTAACAGAAGGAAAAATTCTATAGTCTGAACCAACAGTACCTTGTAGAGAAAGTATCAGTGTAGTTAATTTGTTATAGGCAAGCATATGTATTGGTCAAGGAAGAGAAGTGACCTGCTAAGATAAAAGTGGCTAAGAAATCTTCCAACACGTACACCATACAAATGTAACTTTTATAAATCCCAAGGGAAAAAGAATAAAGATGTTCATTCCGCTTAAACATTTCCAAATTAGTTTCCAATAGCGAAATGACAAAAGGAAAAATTCTAATTCTAACCATTAATTGTATTAACCATTAATTGTATTAACAAAATGCTTTTACTCCAATTCAAATAAAACCAGATATGCAATTTTAAAACCATTTTGAACTTCACATTCAAGCTGATCACAACTTCTGGAATCAGCATCCAGTGCCAATAGGCCAATAAGCTTAATACAAAGTGCACCTGCTTGTTACAGTCACAAAACACTGACTAGGATGACGTCTCGTTTGATCAACCTTCATGAATCAATACACTTTTCTGAAAGTCGAAAGGTTCTACTGTTCTTGATCTTCCAAAGTGATGGTTTCCCAACAAAGAAAATCATTAGCACCTGCAATAAGATTTCAGTCCTCCATTGAGCACCAAATGATGAGAAACATGCCAAATATTTTTTAAAAAAAAACATTCTTAGGATATTAGCATTTGATACATTAGATTTATATAATTTACACTTTGGTTGAAATGTAAGGAAATGTTCCTAAACAGTTCATAAACATAATTCATTAGATGAAGTTGAACACATTTTCCAAAGTCACAATAGCGTAAAAGCCAATTTCTTTTAATTTTTTCATTTGCTTCCTTTAGATCCATAATTGGGGAGGGGGGGACCTGAACTATTTGATATCAGAAGACAAGTTTTCATATCCAACAGGATAAAACAAATGCTAAAATCAAGAAAGAGGGCCCTCCAGAATATCGCTTTTGCAAGAACACTAAAGAATCAACTTGCAGGCAGCTTCTGAATGGTGCACCTTCAAAAAGATAACATGGTTTTGTGGATAATATCAATGCACTCTCTGATTTCATCCTCCTTGATTACTAGTGGGGGAGCCAACCGAATGGTATCACCGTGAGTAGGCTTGGCCAGGAGTCCATTATCACGGAGTCGCAGACACACTTTCCACGCATTGTAATCTTTAAAACAAAAATAAAATTACAAGTAATTAGGGTCAGTCTTTAATAAGTAAAAGCTAATATGAAGGAATAAGGAAAAAAAGAAATGCCGTCAAAATTTATTTCTAAAGAGGCTACAAGAAATATTTTAACTACGCCAAAAGGGACCTTGGGTCCTTTTGAAGAGAAAGGCAGAGTAAAAAATATTGTAAAATAAATAAAATAAATACCTATGCTTCCATTTTTAAAGAGAAATATTAGTCTTCTAAATCCCTTAAGGGAAAAACAGGGCAATACTGAGAGCCATTACATATATTACTGGAAGCAGGCACAAAATTTTGCTATGCCTGGAGCTTCTGCTTCAGCTGAAACGTGCCTCCAAGCATGATCCATTTTGGCTCTTGACCATCACTTCTCCTTTCTGCTGAAAAATATCTCCCTGCCTCTTTTCTTTCTTTCTTTCTTTAAATAGGAAGAGCAAACAAAAGACTACAATTCCACCACTCAAACAGCATCATTATACCATGCCATTGCTTGCCAATGGGGATTTTGCAGATTTCCCTTGCAAGAGTGGAAGCACAGCTGTAAATTGCAATGAAGCTTTGTTTACAGGGTATATGAATAATCTTACCTTTGGTTTCTCGAATGACAATGGCATTTAACAATCCTTTCCCTCTGACACAAGTCACAATATCTGAGGGCGTCTTCATAAGCTCATTCCTCAATAAATTACCCATAACTTCTGCATTTTTCACCAATTCTTCTTCTTCAATTACCTACAGCAGTAGGAATTAAAGGCAAGAAAGCTGAATGCTGGGGAATCACCTCAACAAGATAAGGACACACTTTAATATGCTTCTCCTTATAAAACCATCACAGGAATATTGAATCAATCAAAAGGCACAATATATATTCAGCTTAAAAGGCCGATGTGCCATAAAGAGGACACATGTTTTTGGCAAAATTAATTTAGTGTTTCAAATTAAAACTGATTATTTTCATAGAGTTAACAAGGTTTGGTGAAACCAACAGTTATTTCAAAGTGCAAAAAATGGCTAATAGAGATGGAGGATTTGTATTCGTCTCCTGGGGCCAATAGAGTGAGAGGAAGGGATGACAAGTCTCTCTACACAGTTGCTGATTGGCCAGCAGCGCAGGGAGGCACAGAAGCCTCAACCAGGCTGCTTCCATGATTGGCACAGAGAGAAGAACGGCGGCAACGCACACTACGCTATAAGCTGTAAGTGGACACCCGGTTGCAGGGGGGAAGGTGTAATCAGACCAGTCAGCTGTGATGGCTTGCTTCATATTCTTCTCTCCCAGGAGACAAATATGAATCCATCTCCAATGTCTAAATATTGCCATGTTGTTGCTGCACTTACTAAATAAAATCCAATTAGTTACTTCTGCCATTTCAACTGAGAGGGGGAATTCCTTCTCCCTCTTGCAGCCCCTGTCCCCCACCAGATACCCTCACTGCTCTGTACTTTCTTCCCTGCTCACAAAGGGAGCAAGGAAAGAAGCATAGCAACCTTTTGATAATGCAGAATTGTTACTCAAGTGTTCCCTAGCTTTTGTTACGCAATGCGCTTCAAATGAAAAAATGAACTGAGGGAATATATCAGTTCATTTATGGATGTACGTAACTCCATAAAAACATGAAAATAATTATTCAGTTCAAAAGACAAACAGATCTGATTTAAGGAAGACGTGTTCATTTATTTTGGTATCCAGTTTCACAGATATTGTACATTGATCCTTTTTAGTGTGAAGGCTGCAGGACTGTCAAGAGCAGATTTTCAGGAAACAGTGGAGCTACAGACGCAGAAGGAAGACATCTGGTCGCACAGACAGAATTCCATTTATGTAACACAGCAAACTATCCATTTGTACCATTTTGAAGGTCTATTATTTACTTACCTCAAGTGCTGCCATGGCTACCCGACAGGCCAGTGGGTTTCCTCCATATGTAGAACCATGTTCTCCAGGTTTTATGGAGAGCATAATTTCATCATCACACAGTACTGCTGAAACCTATGAGATAACAATTATTAAAAGCTTCAAAGGTTAAATATTCTTGTGGATCACAGCACTGTAGAAATTCCACTGAATTACAAGTAGATAATATACTCATGAAACATTTTGCTGCCTACCATCTACAGAGATACTGTTGTTAAACAGAGACCAGACAGCAGTCCTTAGCATCCTTAGCAGTTTACTTTTATGCCCTGTTGCTTTCAGTAGTATACATTCCTAAGAAAACAGAAGGAATAGATTATCTCTGTTGGTCCCAGTGCAGGGGAGCACAATAAGTGTATATGTAGATTTTTGTTATTTTTTTTGTTTATTAATAAAAAAATTCAATGCCTTTCCAGTGGCACTGGAAGTGGATGCAATTGTCTGTATTATTGTAATGTAAATGTTCCCCTTGACATTTAGTCCAGTCGTGTCCGACTCTAGG